CGTTTGCTGGGTGGGAGTGAGGACGATCGGGACGATGCGAGTTTCGGGGCGTGATTGCCATCTTTGTTGTGCTGCTCTGCAGCATCTGGATTGCAGCATTTCTCATCGTATCTGGCAGGACGATCACTCTGATTTTACCCTGAATGTGCTTTCAGTGCTGTTACCTGAGCTCAGAAGCTCTCAAACCACCAGGACGGCCGTGAGACTTCTTTCCTGGCCGAGACCAGGAGGGTTGATGTACCCGACCCCGCTGGCATGCTGGCAGGGGTCACCCAAGCCCCTGGCTGGCACAGCATGTGGGGCTTGATGTCCTGTGTCCTTGCTTCCCTTGATGATCTCAAAGGTCTTTTCCAGCCTAAAAGATTCTGTGATTCTATTCTTGTTTCTTCCCATCGTGACATCTTTGTGTCCCAGGGGGAAGCACATGGAAACCTGGTAGGAAAGGGAACCAGGGAAATGTTTGGGGTCTGGATTGTTCTTGTTTTTAAAAAAAGCATTTATCTGCCTCAGTAAAGGCTTTCTTTAATTTCTGTACTAGAAGGAAATAGCGTAACAAGCCAGCACTGGATGTTCATCAGGTAAAGGAAGACGGTGAAGTTCCTGGCCTTACAATAGCACACTGAATGTTTTTTGCTCTGTTATCAAGTGAGTTACACATGACGTGTTCTACTTATCCTTAAAATTGTTTAACAGTCTTTACATATGAATTTTTAAAAATAAAATTAGCTTAGTGGCTTTACAGGCTTGAAAAAGAAACACAATTCAGCTGTCAGTCTTGGACAAACGTCCTCTTATATAAATATTTGGTGTATTGAATATAGATGCTAAAAGATTTGAATTATGAATACACCTGTTGGTTGGCTGTTGGTTTTAAACTGATCCCAACACACCACAAACATTTATTTCTCATAGAATCATTAAGGCTGGCAAAGACCTCCAAGATCATCAAGTCCAACTGCCAACCCAACACCACTAAACTATGCATCTTGTTTTTTCCCTTTGGCGTAGGATATCCTGAATCTTCAATGATTCTGGGGATTTTTTGGCATGTGTGTGCAGCCTGTTTAGCTGGAATATAGATGGAATGATCACTGGTGGGGTTTTTTTCCTTTTTATTTTGTGGAATATAAAAATTAAACTCATTTTTGATTCCAATGCAATGTGCTTCTTGTCACTCGAGTGACAAGGAAAAGAGTAACGATTGGCCCCAGTACACAGGGGAGCTGCTGCCAACGACCAGGGGGGTGCTGGTCCCCTGCTGCAGTTGACGTGAAGACTTGGGGAGGCTTCGCTGGGGGTGCAGAGGAGAGGGGCAGAAGCGCCTGAGGGGGTGTCTGTCAGCAAGAGGATGCTGAAGCTTGTGGTGGGGACAGAGATGGGGGAGTGAGCCCAGCTGGGGGAGACTGGGCTGGCGCTCCCGCTGCCCATGGGAAGTGACAGGGTCAGGAAACCGCCTTTTGTGTTGTGGCAGGAGCTTCTGCTTCCACTTCTCTGCTTCCCAATTGCCCCTGGAACGGGTGAGTGCCTTGCTGCCGGTGTGCTGAGCATCAGGGGGTACTTTGGCACTGAAGAGCATCTTGTAGAAGGCTCGTGCCCAGCTCCTCAGCCTGCAGGGAACAACCCTCCTCCTGCACGTCGTGTCGGGGTGCTGGGTGAGCCCCTCCTGATTCATCAGCGACGTCTCGCTGCCCGCAGGGAAGGACAGTGACCAGAGCCGGTATCGGTGACAGCGGCATAATCCGCTGCGGGATCATCCCAGCTTTGTGCGTGTCCCCCTCTGACACAAACAAAACAACTGTCTTCTCCAAAAGTTCTCTTAAGCAAAGTCTCTTTCTGCTGTTGAGGTGGTAGAAGGAATAAAGCAGCCTGTAGGGCTCAGTGACAGGGTTGCCTGAAGTGACTGAAGGCCACCTACACCCAATCTGGGGACTGTTCTTCTGGGTGTGACCTTGATACTGCATAGAACGTGAGACTGGAGGTGTCCCTGAGGCAAAACCCCAAGCCCCTACTTCCTTGGGAATACCAGGGTGCTGTTCATTAATTCCAAATGAGGGAGAGGAAAATTTATAGAATCATAGAACGGCGTTGGGCTGGAAGGGATCTTTAGAGGTCACCTAGTGCATCCCCCCTGCAGGGAGCAGGGACAGCTGTAACTAGAGCAGCTTTGCTGCAGGTGGAAGAACAAATGCTCTGTTTATTTACCCCTTTTAGCTTTCAGTGCAACAGCAGTTGCCTGAATGAACAAAATATTTAAAAGCTGGTAAATAAGAAGCTAGTAGTATCAGCCACGTGGGAAATTTTAAAGCGGCTTCTGTAATGCTTAAACATTAGCTGATTAACTTGCCTTCTATTCAAAATAAAAAAAAAAGCTAAACCCAGTTTGCTCACCGTTAAGGGCAGCTTGCTCAGGGTCACCAGCGGCTGCCAAAACAGCCCCAGCTGCACCCCGAGCAGTCGGGCACGCAAAGGGTGATTAATAACCCCCCAAATGCTGGAGTTTTAATTTTCCTCATGATAAGTGCAGCCCCTGTGTACGTAGGGAATCATTTGCTCCGTGGCAGGCTGCAGCGAGCTCTACTTCTCACT